ATCCCAGCACTCAGGAGGCAGAGGCAGGCAGATCTCTGTGAGTTCCAGGCCAGCTGGGGCTACAGGGAGACCCCATCTCAAAAAGACAACAAAACCAAAACAAAAAACAAAAACCAGGGAAGAAAGGATTCATTTCAGTTTCCAACTCTCAGGTCACAATCAAGTCAGGGCAGGAACTAAAACACAGACCACAGAGGAGCGTTGTTAACGGACTTGTTCCTCCGGCCTGTGCTCAGCCTGCTTTCTTATACAACTCAGGACCATTTGCCCAGGGATAGTACCACCCACAGTGGTCTGGGCCCTCCCACATCACTCAACAATCAAGATAATGCCTCACAGACATGGTCACAGGTCAATCAGATAGAAACAGTTCCCCAAATGAGGTTCTCTCTTCCCAGGTATATCAATCAAGTTGACAACTGAAGTCAACCATGACACACAGCAAGTGCTTTTTCCCACTGGGCCATCTTGCCTGATCCCCTATTTCTGTAGAGCACTACCACTTCTAGCCTTCAGACTCACAGTGATTATCTGCATCTCCTCACTTTATAGACAGGAAAACTGAGAGGCAGAGTGCAAGTGGGACAGTGAGATCCTAGAGTGGATCTAGTTGATCCCAGAATCCAGCCATGGAGCCAAAAGAAAGGGGACCTGTCCATAAGGGCAGTGAAGTGGCCTGAAGGCCTGTGTGTTCTGGAGGCAGAGGGGCCCCCAGGAAGGTGAAAGGGTCCTATACCCTTCAAGGTCTTAGGAATGGTGGCCCCAGCCAGAGCAGGCCACATTTTACAGCCATATCATCCTGAATGCCCCTAATTGTGTCTGATGTTGAGAAAGCTTTCCCAGTGACTGCCCTCGATGAGCCCAGGTGACCCTAGACCCATGAGACAAGGTTTGGAGTAGTTGTGCACACACTGTACCACACACACCTGAGGCCCAGTCAGGTCTTGGCAATAGGTATGATCAGGGTGTCTAACTTGAAAGCACAGGGAAGCATGCAGGCCACCTGGGTTACTCAGAGCAGTTTATCCAAACAATCTACACTGGGGGAACAAACCTCAGAAGCAGGTTCACCCCACATGTACCACATAGGGGTGATTTAGGGGGTTCAGGCCTCCCACTGTGCAGAGAGCTCTCTGGGCTCCCAGGGCAAGGGAGGCCTCCACCCGCACTTTGCAGTCTTGCATCTCACATGGATGGAATGCAGTATGTGACATCAACCTGAGACAGACACATGACCCAAGGTTATTGACCTCTGCCCAGGCTTTAAGGCAGCTTTGTTGAGGTATAATGAAGATGCCTAACCCTTGCACTTTAAAGTATACATGTCCTTTGGGTTTATCCAGAGTTACACAAGTGTGTTAGTCAACACTCCATGCTATGACAAAACACTTATCAACACCTGAAAAGGAGGAAGGATTTCTTCTGGCTTATTTCAGTTCATGGTTAGGGGCACCATTAGTGCATCCATACTGCTGTGCAGGTGAGGAGGCAGAACATCACACCTCATGATAGTAAGGGAGATGGGGGGGGAGAGAGAGAGAGAGAGAGAGAGAGAGAGAGAGAGTAGAGAGAGAGAGAGAGAGAGAGAGAGAGAGAGAGAGAGAGAGAGAGGTCCTTGTGTCAGAGACAAAGGGAGATGATT